CCAAAGCATCCTTGATTACAGCAACTCTAGGTTTGAATTTGTGTGTGAATAATGACTACTACCCACACTTATTAAGATTCTAAAGGACTCTTCCGTTGATGGGAGTCTAACAGAAAGAGCTTGGAGGGAAGCAATCCTGCCTGCAAATTGGTTTTGCCTTCTGTGGTTCTCCCCTAATTTCTTACTGGTTCTCAGAGCTATTTTACCTACTTCCAAAATAAATAAATAAAAAATCCTGCAATGTTCCTACTTTGTAAATAAACAATCGATATAGCTCAGTGCTTGGACTTGTAGACTCTGGTATTGTGTATACACAAGACGCACACCACAACTCCCTAAATGTTTGTTGATTGACCCACTGAAATTGAAGTACTGACTTTCAGATGATTATCTCAACTGTAGTTGATCTGGTGACACAACCCTGCTTCCTGAAACTGAAGAGGACCTGAGGCACTTGCTGCAGAAGGTTAAGGACTACAGCCTTCAATATTGATTGACGTTCAGCGTGAAGAAAACAAAGATTCTCACCCCTCGGCCAATTGGCAGCTTCATGACAGATGATGAAGAGCTTGAGATTGGCTTCCACAGTCAATACCCTTGGTACCAGCAGTCAGAAAATTAAAAGACAAATTGCACTGGGAAAGTCTGCTGCCAAAGATCTCTCCAAAGTACTGAAGAAAAACAATGTCAGTCTGGAAACTACGGTGCATCTGCTATAGGCCATAGTCTTTGCAATTACTTGCTTTGCATCAGAGGCTGGACAATGACTAAGGATGATAGAAGGAAAATTGATGCCTTTGAGCCGTGGTGCTGGAGAAGAGTATTGAATATACCATGAACTGCTAGAAGAACAAACACATTTGTCCTGAAGAGGGTGGAACCAGGCTGCTCTTTGGAAGCAATGATTCTGAAGCTGTCTGACATACTTTGGACATGTTGCAAGGGGAGGACCAGTCCTTGGAGAGGGACATCATGATTGGGAGGGTGGAGGGATAGCACAGGAGAAGACCCTCGATGAGATGGATTGATTGAGTTATTGGGGTAATGGTGATAGGCCTGTCGGAGACAGTAAGATTGGCAAGGGATAGAGCAGGGTTTTGGGCTGTTGTACATAGGGTCGCTGTGAGTTGCAGGTGAGACGGCACATAACAAGTTGATCTGATGAGAAAAACCAATTAGCCAGGCTTTGCAGTGGTCACCAGGGAACTGCCTGGTGATAAGAAAGCTGAAATGGTCAGGTGAGAAAAAGGGAGCTTGCTAAAGTGAACTTGGCAGAAGTCATCATGGCTTGCCTTCGTTCAGAGAAACTCCACACTCAGCCAGTCATTCTTGTTTTAAACTGCATACTACACACTGTTACTGACTTGACCCAACATGGCAGAGGTCATCAGTTAACTAATGAAGATGACCTCTGTCACCTTCCTGAGAGCCTGCTGTGGTTCCCAAGTCCAAAGGCTGTGTCCTGAGCTTATGTGAGTCACATCCTATTAGCACATTTAACAGGTTAGATGACAGCAGCAGCCCAGTGATCCTTTAAAGTGTTAGAGTAAGTTAATAACTTTGAGGTGTTTGCCACAAAACAGCCACGAAGAATGAGCTAGAGTCGGCCAGGCAGGCTGCTCACTGGTCGGTCTGCTTAAAGATGTCTTTTCAGGCTACAGTCAGTGAACAGTGGGAAGAAGGAACACTGAACATGCAGGCTGCTCTCCTTAACCCCAGAGCACATCAGCTGGCTGGCCCA